GTGCGAAAATAATATATTGTATATATTATTTTCTTAAATACAGATATAAATAAAAAGGATTGTGATTGTCATATACCAATAATTTCAAGACTACAAAAGATAAAAGGATGGATAATAGCAGATATCACAATAGACATAATGATGATAATTGTCTTGATAGACATAATAATATTAACGACATTGTATGCTCTACACTCCGTCAATTACAAATTTTCTAATTTTTTTAAGTAAGTACAATTTGCAATAATCGCAACATTAATAATTTGTTATCTTTAATTTAATTTATTCACTAATTTTAATATTTATAAATTATTAATTTTTTGCACAGCATTTTATACCATGCAATCGGTGAATTTTATTCATATATAATACATAAAATACCTGCAAAATGCAAGGATCCTAATAAACTTACCGAATACGAGTTAACAGAAAGAGTAAGTAAAATATACTTTGTAAAAAAAAATATATATATATATTCTTTACATCATTATTATATTTCCAACTTATAAAAAATTGCAAAATAAATTATACATGTTTGTCATATTTTTCAATTTCTACAGATCTAAACGATCTTACTGAAATATTGTTATCCATAACATCTAAGGCTCCTAGCCTCTCGTATTTTCTATCTCCTTTTAATTACGTCAGAAGCGAGAAAACGCATGCTAAAAATTCTTGCGAAATATGTTGAAATAAAAAGATATATCTATAAAGTGATACTTGCAATCGATTAAATAAATTTGAGATATTCCGTGCGTTTCTTTTTCGCTTTAATAATCAGTAATTTGTCGTAAATTAACGTGACATACCCCTAACAGCACAGATATCCAAGGAACATTCAGAGTACATCCTAAGCAAATCCTATGGACATTTCTTCGTCCTCAGGACATCCTTTGAACGTCCTGAGGAGATCTTGTGCTGTCTTTATTTTCTCAATCTATTTCTTCGCATTCAGGTTAATTTACAATAAATTATTGTAATTTATTGATTGTTAGAACAAAAGGAGAGTGCACAGAATATCTTACAAATTTGTTTCATCGATTGCAAGTGTTACTTTATGGATATATTTTTTTATTTTAACGTATTTCACAAGAATTTTTAGCATGCATTTTCTCGCTTCTGACATCATTAAAAAGAGATAGACAATGCGAGGGGAGGGGGCCAGGAGCCTTAAAAGTTATATTATTAATATTAATATAAATATATGTTAATATTATGTTTATATTTATGTTTATAAAATTCTTTTTACTATTTTATTCTTCTATTTCTGGTGAACATTCCACTAAACCTTCAGCTTTTCCCGAGGACATTTTTTACTATGTAGCAATTCTTTTAATTATACTACATATATATCATATTTACACATGCACACACAAACATTATATAATTATGTACAGATCATATTAGTGATCATATATACTAATAACAATCTACCTTTTACAGGAGTATTCTTCTAGGAAATTACAGAGGAACTTACCAATGATATTTAATTATAAAAAATTATATAAGTATTTAAACTCACAAGAACTAAACCAATGTGAACTAAAGGGTATATTACTCTTTTTATGTACACTTATATTTCATTACATGTTATATTTATCTTATAAGGACTTAAAATAGAGAGAAATTATCAATGAAAGCTTCAATAAATTTTAAAGATTTTAAATTAAATCGAATTTTTTATTAAATTTTCCAATAATTATTGAAAATCTGTTTTTACTGTGTTATTAGAATCTAAATTTTATTTAAACTAAAATTTATTGAAGATTTCTACAAGAATAAAGTTGGAGTTCATTAAATAGTCACAATTGTGAGCTACTGCTTAAGGATTTGCATGATAATCGCTTATGACAGGAGCCGAAACAACAGTACACAATGTAAGTATTGTTCCTTTATTATACTCTTATTTGATAAATAAGTATGCAGTAAAGATACATTTTTCCTAAACCTTTGTTGCAATGTGATGTCGAAGGTCTCACATATTGTTGCTTCGGCTCTTATCATAACGAATTAGCGTACAGGCTCGTGAGAAGTGACACAATCGTGACTATTTAATGCGCTCCTAACTTCACCCATAAAAAGTTTCAATATTTATTTAAAAAGTCAAAACATTTACTACAAAAATATTCTGTTTTTATAAAATTTTTTCTGAAAGATATAAAAAAAAAACTAATCAGACAGTAGCATGTCATGTAATTATAATTGACACTATAAGAATAATTTTTATA